CAAAAATGCACTGCGACAAAATGCAGCTCCTGTAGCAATGGCTGTGCCGCGACCTGCGGCGAGAGCCCAAAAGAAAGAAGCTCCCAAGGCGAAAGTCGATAAGCGACTGTTCCTTCGCCTGGAAAAGGAGCACCCATGGCGGAATCTCTCAAACAACATTGTGAAAAGTAAGGTAGCGGACACGCTTAATCTCTCTTACAATGATATAACCTCGATTCATCGAGTAAAGACCGGCTTTGCTATTATAGCAAAGAACGAAAAAATACGACAAGAGATCCTAGATGTCTCTCCGAAGCTGGCAAGTGAAAACGCCAAACTCGAAGCATCGTCGGATCTTGTCGCCTTACAGATACCGAACGTACCTGTAAGTATCGTTTCACAGTACGGCCCCGTAGCGACCGATGCTGCAAGTGTCACCGCTGAGATCTTCCTTACGACCAGCGCGTATCCAATCCAGGTCCGACCTCATGGGACATGTCGGCCTGGATCGCCTTATCGAAACTGGCATGCCCTTTTTCCCCGGGACGAAGCCCCTCGTGCGGGCTTCCGCCTTTTCGAAGATTCGGGTATGGCTACCATCCACAAGCCTCGTCGATCAATTGAACAGTGCAAACGCTGTTTGGGCTTCCACGCCACCCGTGGTTGCTCTCGCGCTCCGGCTTGCTGGAACTGCGGATCAAATATGCACTCCGAAACTGAGTGCAAGGCCCTCACACGCTGTCGCAACCGTGGGGGACCTCATCGATCGGATTCTCGGGCCTGCCAAGTCAGACCAAAAGAATCCGGACCGGTGACCAAAGAGCAGCTCGCGTGGATTCGCCACATCACACAAGGGGAGTTCGCGAAGGTGGCTCGAGCCAGGGCTGCAGCAAAAAAGGCCGAAGAGGCGATCATCGCCGCGGCGAAGGATGTCTCGATGGCCGAGGCAACAGGTTTCGGAGCTCTGGGATCTGAAGAAGAAGCTTGAGGACACAGCAACCTCGACGATGTCCCCTTTTGGGGCATCTACTAACCAATAGCAGGATACCGGCTGGATCAAAGGTGCCTGCTAACTCATCTCTTGCTCTCAGCGGAGAATGGGCAAATTTGTCATTTGGAAGGTGTGACGGACAAGGGAATGTGTGAGGAGCGCATTTACTGGGTCCAATATGGAGGAATCTTCTGGTATTCGGAGTTGTTTTGATTTTTGTGACTTTTCGTTCTTGTTCAATCAGCTGCACTTTTGGTAGCGATTCACGAGGTTGGAACGAGTTAGGCTGTAGGAAAAGTTACAGGGAACCCTGCCGGATCCGCCGGTCCTTGACCCAATGTGGAAAACATAGCTTTAGCTTAGGACCGAATGTATAAAAAAATTAAAAATTAAAAATTAAAAACTGCTGTCTGCCACCCTGCATTCCAATTTAAATGTAGCAAATTTCCCTCCACCAGGAATTTTACTTTTTTTTATGAGTAGTTTTAAAGTTCACCCGCAGAACAAGAAAAAAAGAACAAATTCTTCTATCTAACATTAACCCCACACTAGATCGCAAATGGAAATATCTGATGGGGTCTTTGCATTTCGTCGAAGAACTTCGTCAGCTCAACTCATTTTCTGAAGGCGAGAGCACCTTCAGGCGTGCCAACGGAGGCCTGGGGTTTTCTGCTTTTTTGGTTCCTGTTTCGGACCCTTATAGTGACTCCTCAAGGGAAACCAGAGGAGTAAACCTAGATGCCGAGCCCACTTTTGGTGTAGGAGCTGGAGCGAAGGCGCATGAGGCTTTTGGAGGAGCACTCCCGATAAGGGGGTCACTAGGAGACGGAGGAGGATACAAGGCAAGTCATGCTTTATGTCCCTCCTGTCGCATCAGCCGTATTCTCTCTTTGTCTGGCCGAACAAAGACTTCGTTAGCTCGAAATGGACGGGCTGGACAGCCAGGGGAAGAAGCCTCGTGTGCGCCAGCGCAATTCAAGCATTTTATAGGTGTCATTCAGGGAACATTATGAGAGTCCGAGGCGCAAATGCTACACCGGACTCAACGTGTGCAGCTGTTTATGTTGTGAAATCGGTGACAGCGGGGGCAGACTTGAAGGCGGGGGCGATTATCAGCTGGCCGGATTCTATTAGAGCGAGCAAAGAGGCGAATACTGGTCGGGAGTTTCTCTGAAGCTGGCTTTGGGACTACCAAACGGAGGGTTCCTTCCCAATCAGGGGATTCCCGCAATCGACGCGTCCATGAGATGGAGAAAATTGACTCAGTGTCAATTTTGGCACCTGCTAGCTCCTGCCGGATATCTGCGTCGGATAAGGCCTCCGGTGATCCGGAGGAATTGTATCCGTATTTTGGAACTGGGCCTAGAAGAAAGTTTGTGCGTTTTTCTTAACTTTCAACTGGTACAATTCCAGTCATGGGCTGCAGAGCTACAGCTGCCTGGAGAAGATCTGTTGCTTGGTCAGGAGAGGGAGCAACCAAAGCAATGCCAGATGGAATCGAACGAATGTCCTTGATTAGCTCTGCACGGTCCAGAAGGCTTCTAAGCTTCGTGCGGAGAAGGAGAGAATCTTGGTGGCGTAAGGGGTGATCAGACGCTAGGCGAACCATGACCCTCGAGTCGGGCTTGGATTTTACAGCTAATGGTGCAGTTTTTTTCTTAGTCTGGAGTGGCGGGGCTGAAATAGAGGAGTCTCTATTTGCCATAGATGCGTATGACAGGGGTGAGTTTATTGCTGGAGGGGGATAATTTATCTTGTTTTCATTAGTTTGTGAGACAGTTGTTGACTGCTCAAAGACTGGCAAGTCGGCAACGACCCGGGCGGCGCTGCGTGTCATGATAGCTTTTAGATCAGCTGCAATAGCCGGTGGAAGAGCGCGAAGGTGTTGAACACCGGCGTTTTGCCATGCTAATAGCGATGTGGCAATGTCATTGGTCGTGGCCGCTGAGGGTTAGTGTATTACACGCGCTGATTCACCCGTCGGAGGGGGGATAGATTGGGTATCTACTTTCGGAGTATGAATAGGTTGAATTTTAGAAGAGGCATGTATAGAACTGGAAAGGCCTGTACCAGAATTCTTTTTCAAGACTCTTGTGGCTTGTAGCTTTGGGGCCCTAGTTGCAGGCTCGAGCATATGCAACGGGTCGGGGAGATAGTCATTTTCTGACCCTGAGTCCATGGACACATCTTCGGTGTCAATCAGAATTGACTCGGCTGGAGAATGGTGACTCTCAGAGGAAGCTGCAAGAATGGCTTCTTCGCGTGCAGATGGAAGTGAGCTCTTAATTCTTACGCGTTTGGCAGCACGCGTAATAGTTTTCGCAGGTAATGCGATCGTGGCAGGCTTTTTCCGTCTACCAGGTTTTAGGGCAAGACCCTCAGTATCTATTGGTACATATTAAGGAAATCAATTTTCAAAAAGACTATTAAATTTTAAAGTTATTTTGTTTTCTTTAGCAGTCCTTCATAGTCATAGACTCAGTAGGGACTTAAATTGAATTCTATTCTATTCTATTCCGTCTACCAGGAGGCGTGCTGTCTAAATATGCGTTATACTTAGGAGTCGCGTCAATAGCGCTACTCATGCAGATCAGTCACGTGGAGAAAGTTTGTATTTAGTAGTTTTGAGTCTATCTCACTCTCGTGAATACAACACTATCGCTTCTCATTCTATCTGACCTTCTTACACTGTGCTAATTCCCTTGTCTTCTCAAAAGTCATACAGCCATAGCAGGCCTCCCAATTTAATAGTTATCTAGATGTAAATCGATCCACTGAGTATATTTTTAATAGATATCTACATAGATAGGCAGACAAGGAATATGAAGATAAAAAAACATTCGAAGAGATTTATTCTGCAATTCAGGAAACTAAAAGCCTAATTAGTCAAAATTTTAGCTTCCCGAAGAACTAGTAATCCCAATATCTAAAATTGTACTACTCTCAAAAGCTATTCATGGCTTTAATGGCTCTGATTAAAAAAATTTTAATGGAAGCGAAAGTATGTTCATAACCACATAACTGTTTCCTATAGCCGTTGGTTCTCTAGGTCTGACTTTTTGCTTAGCCGTGCACTGTAAATAATTTCTTACCCTAGCTTGCAAAGTTGATATTATACCAAGTCTGGAATATCAACTCTAGAACAATCCTACTTTACATACCAGATAGCTTTCTGCAGTATGTTATGCCTCAAAATAAAAACTTTTCTTGGGGAGTACTAGGTTTACTAGAACAAAATCCAGAAGACAGTAGTTATACCTAACTGTTACAGATAGATCGAGGTATTCCTAAACCGCAACTTTGACTAGTGAAGTTCTCATTAACTCAGATAGGCTTTATGTTGAAGCAATTTTATGGTATCTCCATGAGCTAGCTTTGGTTGAATTTATGTCATAATGTGACCACTCGAATATTTATACCCCTCAATGTATATTTGTTCGCTAGTGCGCGCAGTCTAGCTTTTGGAGATGAACATACCAAATTTTGATCTTGTTTGTACCAGAGTAAGTTAAGATATAAAGAAGGGGAGTACACCTCCTTTGATACTGTTAGAATAGCAGTAAAATAATGACTAAAATACGTTCTATATTAATGTTTATTAAGATTCTGATATATTGATCTTGAATACCAATTCTAAGCAATAGCGCAGTTATTAGCGATGATAACGTAAAATATAAACCTTGTTGTCTATCTATGGTTGAAGTTATAAGATCCTTGATCATGGCTCAATTTCTAATTGGAAAAAAGTGACACAGCCTAGGGCTTTCGAAATAGATAAGTTAAGCCGTTTTATTGATATGTCTTTCAAGTCAGATTAAATATTTGAGGCTATGATATTTGTGTGATTATTAGATACGGTACTGTTTCAGTTGAGCCGCTGAATTGTTTCAGCATTTTACTATCCATGTTGATTAAAGAGATTTGGTAAGGCTTGTTAGTTACTTAGCACCAAGGATGAATCCTTAAATAGAAATATTCCTCTAGATACCAAAAATGCTCTTTTTGAAATCAGAGCTGGTGGTTTCTTGGTTCACACAAATACATTGGTGTGAGCTGAGTTGCTGTAGCCTTCTTGATTTTTGCAAGCAGACTGCATTTTTTTGGCGGCTAATCTCTTGGATGCTGCCTTAAATCTATCTGGAGGTAGTTCTACCCTTGAGCTTTTGGCACGAGTAACTCTTGTTCTACCAGAAAGAATCCTTGCATGGTCTGTATCCTTATTGCTTCTACTCCTGGTTATGGTAGAAATAGGAGTATTTGGTTCCAATTTGGATGAGATATACCCACGGTTTGATTGATATTTCGATTCATCATCTACGATTAAGTCCTCTTGTTTAAATTTTGCTGCGTTAGACTCCATGTAAGGAAGGTTGATTGCTGATGAACAGAAGCGCGAACCTGGAGAGCAGGATAAAGCGTTGACTAGATTACTTTTATTCGATAGAGGCGTATGTTGTATTCGTCTGTGTGTCTGTGTTGGGAAGCTATCTGTATTTATATGATTTTCATTTCCTACTGATGAGTGAGAGGCATATCGGTGGGTTAAATTATTCAGCGTTTCATGATGCGAATATGAGCCCAGTTCCGTCTTCTTTACACTGAGGGATTGAACTTGAGCATGAGATTCTCCATGGCGTGATTGAGAATCCCCAGAGTTGACTTTGGCAAAATCTGCTGTATTTGTCGTATTTTTTTTTAAACTTTCAAACTCACGCTGACGAGGGTTCTCATATTTTTGACAACTAGACAAATCATTTGATCTCCTCATCGAGTCATCTACCGATCTCGGGTTTGAATTTGACACTTCCCGTTTCACAGATGCGTTTTGTAACTTCAATCTGGCAATCTTCTCATCTTTCTCTAGTATTTTTCCATGCAATATTTTGTTCTCATTTTGGAGTAAAGTCATTTTTTCCAACTGCTTCTTGAGATTCTTTATTTCTCTACCCATTTTTGTGATCAAGACAGTGGATTCGTTTTCGTTTGAATTTTCTGGCTTTGTGTGGTTGCTTTGATGTTCTTTCGCTTCATCAGAGCTAGAATCTATATTTTCCACCAATTTTCGAAATTCTTCGACTTGCTTTTTGTATTGTATAGCGCTGGCAGCTTGTCGAGTTAACTCTTCTATTAATTCAGGGGACCCATTACTGTCTCGTTCCCTATCAGCAGTGGCTATCATGGCTGAAAGCCTAGAAATCTTTTCTTCCATGATAAGAACCTTTTTTTGCTCTTCTCTGAGCTTTTCAGCTAGATTAACTGATTGTATATCCTTTTTCTTCGCGTATGATTTGGCTAGCTCTTTGTAGGCGAGGAGTTTTCTCATTTCTGATTTAGCTTCCTGATGGTAAGTTTCGAATTCTGATTTCCAATACTTGCCAGATTGTGAGTGCGGATTATTAAGATCAATTGTCATATCACCTTCTAGGGCGTGTTCGGGAGAGGTGTGTTGAGTAGATCGCTGAGACAAAATTTTATCCTGTCTCTTGTCATCTTTCAATCTCGGTCCGAAAAAGGGATTATTTGTCTCTTCTGGACTAAGACTTGAGAGAGGTATTGGTTCGATGTGAGTTAGCTCCTCAGCTCCTTGTCTGAAATCCTGATTAGCCGCATCATCCAAATCGGTGGATGATGGTTTAATGAGTTCGCTTTGATTTGAATTAAATTTGGGAGATAAAGGGACGTTTGGCGATTCCCCCAGTGACTGATTTCTATTGCTTGTTTTTGAGTTATGTTTTCTAGCATCTATCTCATTTACTCTTACATCACTACCAAAAGTGACTGTTTTTCTTTTTGGGTTAGAGACACCAGGTGTTACTAGTATACCAGGAAGCTTTGACTCGGGATTGTTTCGCGCCGGAAAGTTGTTGATGCAAGGAGAATCATGAAAAGAGGTTGGTTTACAATCCAGATTGGTATCGAGGTCCGTAGGAGAGCCTGGACTACCAAACAGTGCACTTTTGAGAGCACGAGCTGCAAAAACCGGTGCTGGAGTTTCGGGTGCATCTACTTGCGGCTCATCTAATAGTGTCAGAAGATTGTACCAAAAGAAGTCGTCCTTACCGAGATAGCGCTCATTTTTAGGCCTTCTTCCCCCGAGCCACCATGCAAGCATATTTCTGATTTCTCAGTCTGTAAACTGGTGCGCTTCCTGTACCAATTTATTTCATTCCCGGTGGGTGGCGTTACTGATGTTGAGGTAATTAACCACACTGAATAAATCTGAATACCACAAGTCCGTTTGGTCCATTCCATCGCTGAAGTTCACTGAACGCGTCAGTTGATCCTCCTGACCGGGGTTATTAACCGCGTCTGAGTCTTGGGCAGGCAAGGAGTTCAGAGTTGTACATGAGGAACCGATAATTAAAATGAAGAGAAAGAAATCTACGCACAAAGATGACGAACAGCAAGATCTCGAACTGGCTGCCAACAAGAAGAGATGTATCAGACAGCAAACGCCACCCAACAAGATAATATCAGACCCTAACGCGGCCACAAAGCAGTCTGAGAATGGTATGAGAGCTACGCGTAATGGGAGCTGCGATTCTGAAGAAAAATACCCAGAAGATTGTGATACATATGTCGCCCTTAACCACGGTTCTACCACTACCACGCTCACCGAACTTCCACAAAGCCACAATTTCGGACTCGATACACCCTCTAAAAATATAGTACTGAACAAGAGGCTCTTCGAAACGCCGGTCAAATCGAGCAGCAAAAAAAAATCGGACAGCTCAACTCTTCTCCAGAAAAACATCAACAGATCTGCTCGGAAAAAGATAACAAGAAATCTCATCGAACGAACAACCCTAGGCAACATTAGCGATGAAGATGAGAATGACGAAGATCTTGCGGAAAAGATTTACTGTTCAGAAGAAGATGTCGATGAATTGACTGATGCTCCTCCGAAAACTCCAAAAGGAACGGCGGGAAAAGTTACAGCAAGAACCCCTCGACGATCTCCAACTCCTCCCAAAAATCTAACTGATTTTGAAAATTATTTCTATCAAAACAAACAAGGTCGCCCGAAAACTTCCAATAATAAACTTACACAGCTAGAGTTACTGGATCATGAAGAATACTTTAAACGCTCACGCAAGATTGTATATCAAGACCAAAGTGATATCGAGAGACTTGAACGTCTTCACGCAGATGATTTTCCTCGTTGGCAATTTGAATTGTGTCAAGGATTCAATTTGTGTCTCTACGGATTTGGATCCAAGAGAACATTGCTCATGAAATTTGCCGACAATATCTCTAGAGCACATCTAAACAAGGAGAAATTTAGAATCGTTGTTGTTAATGGTTATGTCAATAGTCTATCGATCAATGATATTCTTAAAACCATAGCATCTTCAATAACAAGTGAATCAATTAAGGTAGGCTCGCTCTCTGATATGCTTGAGACCCTATTCGGGCTCATCGAGCAAGACAAGGCATGGGATATAACTCTCGTGATTCACTCTATTGATGGAATTTCAATTCGCCGACTCGCTCATCAAACAATCCTATCCCGTTTAAGTGCACATCCTCAGATACACCTTGTTGCTTCTGCTGACCATCCCTTATTTCCACTTCTATGGGATAGCTGTCTTCGTTCCACCTTCAACTTCATCTTTCACGACTGTACTACCTTTCGAACCTATGACATGGAATTAGATGTCGTTGAAGAAGCGCACAAGCTACTCGGGCGGAGTGGACGGCGAGCAGGCGGAAAAGAGGGTGTAAATTTCGTTCTTAAGAGCTTACCTGTGAATGCAAAGAATCTTTTCAGGATCTTGATAGCCGAACAACTAATAGCAATGGACAACAATAGCGATAATTTTGATGAAGATAGAAATATGGATAGAAATTTAGTGAAAAGTAAGAAGCCTGATATCGGTGTTGAATATCGAGCTTTATATCAAAGAGCCGAGGAAGAATTCATCTGTAGTAATGAGATGAATTTTCGGACACTCCTTAAAGAGTAGGTTTCTATTAATCTACCATCGCTGGGTAAAATATTGACTCGACTAGATTCCATGACCATCAAATGGTAGAAAGTAGAAGAGATGCCTTCGGAACTGAAATTCTTTTCCTTCCATTTCGCAAAGAAGAGTTAGAAGATATACTCGAAGATATTATGTCGCAACTCACTTAGACTGAGAAACACATACAATGAACAGATCAAATAACTCAAACGCTTAAATTCATAGTTAACTTGGATTAATAAAAACGGACATCGATTATATCGAAAAGACTCTTCGCCCTTTGAGTCTAAAAGTTTGCAGGAAACGTGCTTTGAGCTTATCGTACGCCAATTAGCGACGTTCGCCCTTTTAAATGTTTCAGCGAATCTACCACATAACTCTTACTTTAGGAGGTAATTTTTCAGAAGGCTTTTTTCAGTATATTAATCCAAAATAGTGCTGTCGGCTAGGCTGAGTACTGTGAGTATAGTAGTCTTTCTGGCTGATTGGACTAATTTATCGATTGTTCTATCTAATAGATGTATAGCCCTGCCACGAAGCTGTAGAAAGATATAAGTTCGAGCTACAGAGGGAGGACCTACTTTGCGTTGTCACTCCTGATTGGTTAATGGTTAAGGAATGGTCGTGTCTTCCGATGTATTAACAGGTGCAAATATCAGCCTTGACGCTATCATACGTGATGAGGAAAAATAAAAATTATCAAAATTTATGGACTTGACTCAATCCAGTACCTCAAAAGACAAGTAAAATTACTTTTTTGTAATCTCAGGAGTGACATAACTATAATATAATAAAAGGTTCAAACTTGAATGAAGTAGATATACGCCAAGAGATACTATTAAACCTCATTGTTATTCCTTTATCTAGCTTAGTGTTGTCCAATGAACTTAGACTCGTACTTGGTGGATATGGAACCTCTGATCTGATTTCGTTATCGGTTAAACTTCAGGATATGTTTGGAAGCACGCAAATTTGTGGAATGCTCCTAACTGATGTCTATTCAGCCTATTCTGAAAATAAAACAAGCATGAAAATAGGAAATTGACACAAATCGCCTACATAAAAATATCTGAGAATAATTGGGAGTATATGTTTTAAATGCATTGATCTAACTAGTATCTAGTTGTCAGATCGTAATTTGGCAGGCAGTACCGTGGAGAAAGAAAACATATGTTGATAATTTATGTACTACGATCGCGATATTCACCCGTAGAACAATCTTAAAAGAGACTGGTCACGGGACCAATTGTGAAGTATGTGGAGTTGGTTAATTATTGTACGAATACTATATACAACTCACCACACGCCCCGGCTGGCTAGATCGGCGAAGATCTAGTTTGTAAACAAAAAATAAACTTCGGGCGATGTGCGAGCCTGAGCAATGAATATTTACGGTGTCAACCCGAGCAGGAGCTGCAGGCAAAGAGCCGAGGCAATCGTCGCCTCAATGTCACGGAATGTATAAAGGTAATATCAGGATCTGGATAGGTCAGGATAGATAACTGTGTTGTGTGATAATAAGGGTGAGTTTAACTGTGTACATGGAAGTCTATAAGTCCCAAGTTCGCTTAGCCGTTCCTAGGACTTAATCCCATGACACCCAATGAGGGATGTGCCTATAATGGAGAGATCAGGCTTCGACATTCTTGACTCCGACAAAAAAGCTTGAGGCAACTGCGTCTTTTGGTGAAGTCTTCTAGAATTCAACAACATAAATTATGAGACCTGTTGGATCCTACATGTTTACCCGCTACTAGTTGGAGGGCAAGACTGAACACCTGTACGCGGTGTCCTCTACGAACCTGGGAGTGAAATATTCTCCCAGAGTCAAGTTCAGTCAAATTTCGCAATACCGAACAAGTTGGCCCACGAGGCAATGATTCAAAATACTCCGCCATGTCATTTTTTCACTCCCAACAAGATCGATTCTTACCCTAGTCTCAACAAGTCTACAAGTACGACCTAGTACATCCTCATTCCAATGATCACACCTCTTGTCAACTTTCTCTGGCCTCAGCTCGTCATCAAATACACGCCCACGCCGATATTTATACCCGACGGAGGACACAAAGCGTGGAGCATAAATCTGAGAGACTGTTCTTTGGGATGGACGTGAGAGGAATCAGGACAAGTTCACAAGATGATGCAAATGAAGGGTAAAATCTTGGAGGGCGTGAGATTCTGAAATTTTGGCAAGGAGTTTTACGAATTGGACTTTGTGCGCGCCAAGGCTTCGCTTGCGAGAGTGCAGCTCACACTATAAACACAAGCCAACGATGTAAGGTGCCGTGGTCCGCCTCCTGGTGGTGTTCTCCGGTATAGTTTGAGTAGCCTGGGCACCTACTCCATTTGGGAAGGAGACACCAAAGACCATATTTCGCGCGGAGAAAAGTTGAAAGATGATGGAGACATGTCTGGATAACCTAGGGTTTTTGAGACGTTCCCCTGGGTGGGTATTCACGGATGAGGGTTGACTTGGGGTGAAGAAAAAGCCACCATAAGTTCGCAGTGGTACTTGCAAATGAAATCCGAGGCATGAGTGCTCTTCCTTTACGTTGAATCATCTATTCTGTACTTTTCTTTGATATTGTGTCATAGCTAGATAGCTGCATACGCCATTAAAATCTGATGCAAAAAAAAAAAGAAGTCTGCACCTTCCAGTGGTGCCGGTGTAATAGCTCAGTATGCTCTGTATATCTGGGATAGCCAAGAAGAATCGCATCCAAATCAAAGTCGAAAGCACTCACAAGCACATCTAAATTCGACGACTTCTCGTCAATGTCGGACCTATCATTCTCACGCGAATCCTCCATCTCAATCCTACCACACCATCTCGCCTCAAATACCGATAATGGCGTCACTCCAATTGCAATTGGGCATTTGCCTAATCAAAAACCGGCCATCGCCCACTACATATTCACGATGCGATGTATACTCGCGAGAAGGAAATTAAGTTATAATCTACAAAGCTTGGGTCTTGGTCTATGGAGGACCGTTGCTGTAATGGGGCTTCACATCTTGAGGAAGGACAGGCAGCTGGAATGTGGGACGAACGAGTGAAGAGGTCATAAATGGGCATGCTGGGACGCACATTTTTCGAGTATTTTCGACTTAAGGGTGTCTGTGGGCGCCGAGTCAACGATTTAGGATAGTGCAACCGATACTCTAAAAACAGGTAATAATGGTAGGTGTTTTGGTCCGCCTCCTGGTCGTCATCTCCCCGAGTTAAAGTCTGTGTAGCCTGGACACCTACCTCACTCGAGAAAGGGAGGACTGTGAGGCCATATCTCGCGCGACGACTATGTACAAGATGACAAAGGCATGTTAGGGTAGCCAAAGGCTTTTCATGTTTTCCCTTTGGTGGATATTAACGGTTGAGGGAAGGGTGAAAGTCCTTAGCGCCAAGGTCTCGAGTGGTATCAGCGAATGCATCCACTATATGAGTAGTCCAAATGTCAAACTGAGTTATCGTCGTATATAGTCGCCGGAGAAGCTAGTCTTCTCCGTATCATGCTCTTTGAGTGCAGGGCTTGTGCCCGTCACGAATAAACTTTCATTCATTTTCGTAGGAGAGAAATGATATCACAAGGGAATATTCTAGCACTAGGCTGTGAACAACATAGTAAGTCTGGAGCAAGACATAAGGAGGTCTCAACCTCCGTTCATTCTTTGTAATCAAGTTTCCTTTATATGAGAATATAGAATCAAGTATTACGTATCAAGAGAACACACGCGATAGCGATCAACGAGACTTACTGTGAGCATAACCTCCCAAAGAGTATCCATTTTCCTGCTCCTATATAGCCTAGTTAATATAACACTACTCATTACTCATCAATATAATAGTCGTCTTTTATAAGATAATACATAAACAACCATTGAGTCATTAGTTAATTTAACATTAGGTTATTGTAGCAAAGATAGTAAATGAGAATGTGTGCCCATCAATGTAGAATATACTGAGCCAATGTTGAAATCCACAAGAGCGAGGAGGAGCTATTTCTATCTATTTCTATTTATTTTACGATATACAACGTTAAGCAAGACAGCCCAAAGAGGCTAGGCTAGGCTACTTTACAGTCTAGACTCTCAGTCATAACCTTCCTGTTATTGAGCCCGATCTTCGGTTAACGCCAAGGCGAGAATGATGAAGATATTGAATGGATTCTATCAAGGCAAGGAGGACCCACTCATGCTATGTAATCACAAACTAAGATTGATCAAGTCTGTCGAATATTTGAATCATGAGTTGTAACATAATATCCACATTTTTAACATTTACAAGTACCACGAACGCTGAATTTTATGCTTTAAGATGAAATAAGGTTTACGTGCGAAGTTCTCGAACAATTGGGAACCAATCAGAGGGCACAAACTATAGTCAGACCCTTTACCGTCAACAGGGGTTAGCTTCTCTGTGCATGTCGGTAGATGAATGCAAATCATTTTCTTGACCCTGAGAGCTCACATTTACCTATGTCCAGGGTCGCTAGTTGGAACGTACACCCTTCTATTTTACATGTCCATCGATGTGGATGCTCGTAAATTTTCATCCATGAAAATCTGATATATGTCTCACGCCTCACATAGAACCATACGAAGGCCATCAAGTCTTCCTACATGTGGAGTATCACCAGTCCATCTCCACTGTGAGAGGTGTCCTAATCATGCCGAGTGAATCACACGGAAAACAATAAATCGCAAATTGCAGTATCATCTAGATTTGTAATAATTTAACGTGTATTCAGCTATCTAGCTATGACACATGATCAGTGCCATGTATATATGTTAGGTTATTATTTTGACTTTAGACAAACTTGCACCCCGTATTTCATTCGCAAGTACCAGTGAGCCATGTCTTCTTACACATACAATTGACTCTCCTCCGTGACTATCCGCTAGAGAAATTTTTCAAAAAATATGATTATCCAGGCATGCCTCTGTCGCCCATTCACATCAGCACCGAGAGAATCTTGATGGAATATTGTTGTCGTTTGACTTCAAATAACAAGATAGTCCAAAACTTATGTATCATTGTTGTGCACAAACTCTTAACTACTCGAATTCTATTTAACAGAGGTAAAGCTTTTGCGGACTCAAGGCTCTACGCTGTCTTGAGACTAGCTTTCGATCAGCTGGCCATGCCCTGCCCTCTTTGCAATAATTTTCCGATAAAATTTAGTTTGGCCGCTACTTTTTCGAAGAAAATTCTTGAATATAGCTTCGACTTATGCCTTGGGGCTAGATGAAGGCTTAAGCATTTACTGGCCCCATCAACGCTCGGTCCCTTGCCGGCATATCTCTAGTTGCTCCGCATACCTAGCCGTGGATGATCAACTACACGATGTTTCTTCTTTTTGATTTCGTTCCATCCCCCTCCAATATGATTTGGAAAATGGTATCAACGTGGAAGCATATGTGACCAGAGCACCGGTGCTAGCATCCCAGGAATCTGGTTCTGGCGATACGCACGGATCATAAAATTTGGATCAAATTCACTTTCATCATCTGTCCATTACGGTCCAAGCACCTGAAAGCTCCTCATGCTTGAGATAGGTGCCGCCGTGAAATCAAAGCCTCCAACAGTTATGAACGGTAAATGATGTTCATATTAAATGCTATACTCTCGTTTTTCTTACTTCCAGCTGCATCTCAGTCTCCTCCATCTCCATCGGAACTCATTACCATAACATCTCCTATAGATGATAGAATAACCATAAAATTCAAAACACCTCTGAAAGGTACCTGCGAAACAGTTTTTGATACCCAACAGCAATACACTGGATGGATTAGTACACCTGAAAGATATGCCACAAACACTTTTTTTTGGTTCATTGCAGCCAGAGATCCAACAGATCAACTAGCAATTTGGCTGAATGGCGGACCAGGCAGTAGCTCAATGATTGGATTGTTCACTGAAAATGGCCCCTGCGAAGTAATAGAGCTTGAAAGAGGAAAATATGGAACGAAGGCACGAGAGTGGGGATGGGATAGAGGTGCAAATATTCTATATATCGATCAGGTAAGAGAAGACTATTAGCCTGACTCTACATGCTCACTTTTGACCACTTAAATAGCCAAACCAAGTCGGATTCTCATACGACACTCCTAAAAACGGATCAATTGATCTTCTGACATCTAACATATACACTCCTCCTCAGGTCGTGCCAAACTCTCAACCTGGAATAACTTTCTTGAATGGTACATTTAGCTCGCTGAATCAAAACAACACAGCAAACACGACACAGTCAGCTGGCATGGTAATCTGGCACATGCTTCAAGGATTTCTGGGAACATTCCCTCAATTCACGAATAACACATCAATGTCCGTACATTTATTTGCCGAGAGTTATGGTGGGAAGTATGGTCCAGAATTCTCCACGATATGGGAGAATCAAAATCAAAAGCGTTTAACTGGGGAAATATCAAGGCTTAATACGATCGAGATTAAACTTGCTTCACTTGGTATAATTAACGGCTGTGTAGATGATTTAATTCAAGCACCCTATTGGCCTAAGATGGCCATTAACAATACTTTTGGCTTGACAACTATTAATCCAGTCCGAGCTAACCTCGCATTAGCAAGCTTCTACGCACCTGGAGGCTGTAGGGACTTAATACAGCGCTGTAGGGAAATGGTCAAAGTAATTGATCCAGATGGCATTGGAAATATAGTTGAGGTGAACAGTATATGCTCAGCTGCGTATGTGAGCTGTACCGAAAAGGTTATGAATTCATATCTTGACTCTGGCCGAAGCTTTTATGATATTGCGCATCTGTTACCCGAAACGTCTCCCTCCAACACATACCTGGAATACCTAAATAGTGCCGAATTTCTGGCTGCAATAGGATCCCCCGTCAACTTCACACAGACAAATCATAACGTTGTCAGCGCCTTTCTCGCCACTGGTGACAATGAAAGATTAGCGTTAACACCGAGGATTGCTTACCTTCTACAATCAGGCGTAAGAGTTGGGTTCGTATATGGTGATCGGGATTATGTTTGCAACTGGTTTGGAGGAGAGGCCATTTCACTCGCCGTTGCTGCTCAAGCCTCATCATCCTACACCTCAATCTTCCCCAACTCTGGATACGCACCTATAATCGTAAATTCTTCTTATATTGGCGGTGTTGTACGCCAGTTTGGCAATTTGTCCTTCAGTCGTATATACGATGCCGGTCATAGTGTTCCGGCATATCAACCAGAAACAGCCTTTCAAGTTTTTGCACGCATCATGAAAGGAACCTCTATTTCTACCGGACAGCCTATTGACCTTTCCACTTACAACACTACTGGTCCTCTAAATGCAACTAGAACAAACGCAGTGCCTGAAGCGCCAACAGCAACATGTTTTTTGCGTAACGTACCAGAGACTTGCACAGATCAACAAAAAAATATGCTTATGAAGGGCAAGGGTGTCATTATTAATGGAAAGCTCTTCAATCATATCGAGGACTATAACTCTGCGTCTCCAAATAGATCTATATCTACAATGAACGGAAGCGTCACAGTGACAACTACAACTGAGGTTTTGACTGGTTTCTTTACTGCAACCTGCACACCAAGTTCAAAAAGTAAATCCTTGGCAAAAAGATTCAATACCTCAAATAGGTTAGTTGCTGGCTTAATTACAAGTGTGCTTCTTTTACAATTGCCTTGTAACAGTATATTTTAAGCGAGCATGAATTAACACCTGGATTCCAAAAGGATAACCAGGCTATTGTAATGATTTAATTTTACTGTATGATAATATTACACATCCTAATTTCCGAATTATAGGATGCAGGATTAGACTTTTTATGCAGCTAATTGGGGTGAATGATTTTTTTGTTGAGGCATTCTACAAGGCTTGACTACATCCCCTTGGTACCCTGTAGATAAGAATATCAACGGGTCTTTATGCGACGATGTTATGAGATACGGTTTACTGTTTATTACTACACTTTCAGCGATATATTAATACAAGATAAATATGAAGGGAATAATGACCCCTCAGTCAATGAGGTTGTGGAGCGCATTCATTCAAGTTGTAGTTTTTTTCGTTGTTTGCACCTAACGCCAACTAGGCTCACAGGTATGACCCGGCCTCAGTACCCACGAATGAGTACATGGCGTGTCCGCAAAGCCTATTGCTATCGAAAAATTCTATCATATAAAGACTTTTCCTCCCTTGTCCCGTATTGATATGTGTTGTGATCCTAGTCTGCGCAAGGAAGCAAGGGCTTCATAAACAAGACTCAGTGATGTAACAACATGACTTTAGTTACACAAGCTCATATTAATGCATGACTCAAATGTGAGTCGTGCTCATTATCAGGAGCTTAAGGATCAAACAATGTCGATACGCATTACATTAGTACATCAGACAATCAATGGACACGGCTGTAGGATAGATCGTACATGTATATTATCAGGTCCATTTACTTCTTAGGTAGATTTCACGGATCGGTAAATAGAATTTTAATATTAATATTAATTCGTGATAAGATTAAGTGGTAGTAATTAAAACCATCAATTTAATAATAGCTTCCCCTATACAATTAGTCATGTAAAACGTCATGAAAGGATATACAAGAGAGTCATGAAGAGAAGGACAAGAACACGGCCATTAATGCGAAGATATTGGCAAGAATTGATTACGATTAATTCCGGCTGGCAAATGCTTCTAATCTTTTATATAATAGTTCAGCGTGAGAGAGTTTTATTCCTCACGCAACGTCTTCTTTATCTACCCTTGGTCCTTCATAGTCTTAGACTCAGTAGGGACTGAAATTTAATTCTATTCTATTTATCTACCCTTTACAATACATTTGTTTACCCATCTCTTCTTCGGGAAGACCCACGTGTAACACCTACTGCAACTAGTTGCCCATTCATCTTTTCTTAGAGAAGACCTGTCATTCCTTTGACCCATTTATAATCCTCACTTACCACCTAGATCTTCACTAGGCTATACAACGCACCCCGTGGAACACTATCAAACCCTCGTCCTTGAGAGTAGATTATGCGTTCATCTTTAGATATCCATATTATCCTCAGATAGTCTAAATACATTCGCCCACCACCAGAATATTCATTCCACATTCTTCTTTATATATATACTATCCTCCCACAATACTTATCCATATAACCTCGTAATTATAACAATTTGCAAGCTGAATTCTAGGCAGAGCCTCTAACTCGTGACCCCGTTTTACTATTTGTACAGGTTAACTTTAATGCACCGTTTCCTGAATTTCTTCGTCCTGCTACTTTACCGATGATCTTTATAATGTCCCGCTCCCTACTGCGAAATGGACATGGCGTCGGAGGTTTATTTGTCGAGTTTCCTGCATACAAAGGGATTTTCTGGAGCCTTCTCCTCTCTATAGAAACACGATAGCTCGGTGTCTTGGTGCTGGAAGAGTCTAATATTTCATTCAAGCAACCACAGAAGTAATACTAAGTACATAGTTTATAGTCACGTGTGTATAACAACGTGGCCCTTTTGATAGCCCCAATTACATTAACTCCTAACATCCATTCATACATCATTACGCAAACAACAAGATACGGAACGTATTCCTACTCCTTTCCAGCTATTCCCTACAACTCGATTCCTCTAATTCGACCCCTAATAAGTGCATTTTAGTTTGGTCATCGCGCCCGTGATGGCCAAATCACATTAACCACCTCCTCTGGCCCAGCGCGTCGCTGAAGAGCTCAAGCTTGTCCAGCGCGTTGCGAAGGGTCGAGCTACTTGGGTTCAAACCTTTCATAACAAGTTTTGGTCAGCCGTTGAAGAGGCTGATCCTCTAATCCAGTCCTTCGTGCGCGAGCAAATGGACGCGTTTCTCCTTGCGGTTGCTTCCGGGCACCATATGCAATACAACAGCCAAACACAGCACAAGCCAGCGGGCTCCTTACCCAAGCCTAGTCAAAGCATACCAGCACGACCTCCTATCCCCACAGCAAAGCAACCACAGAGTTGGGCATCGACCGCCGCAGGCCCTCCAGCCACTGTCCCTCCGGCACCGTCTTCGTCTCGACCAAACGCAACGTCCCGCCCTTCTTGTACGCCCGTTCCGAAAAAAGCTGCAATCACCAAGAGCTCAAAAGCCATCTTCAGCCTCTCTGAGGAAGCTCCACTCCTCAGAGCAGACGCAACCACAGTCAATTCTGCTTTCATTCAAATTGTTCCCGGACTTGAGGATGGAATTGCCTCCGTTTCTCGCTGCTCAAATGGTTTCTGCGTCGCTTTCTCGTCTGATGCATCGCTAAAAATTGCGATGGAAAATGCCGATTCCATAAAGGGGTCTCTTTCAGGTACTCTTATTCAACTTGAGGACCGCACTGGGTACGTTGTTAAACGTATCCCACGCACTATCTGGAATCCGGTCTCCAATCTGGTTCCTACCCCGCTTGATGACGTTAAGAGCATCGCACAGGCACAGACAGGCGTCGCTCCGTCTGGCCCCCAATGGTCTCTACATGAAGATCGCCATGGTTCTCTACACACGGCGGTTTTTATCTTCCCAAAAGAGGTGTCCACTTTTCGAATCGTTGATAGCGCCCCTTCACGACGCTATATCCCTAACCAGAAGGCCATCCAGTGCGATGCTTGCTTTTGGTTTCATCAATCCTCTCGTTGTCGCACTCAAGCGTTGTGCGCTCGTTGCGGTGCCATTCTTAACCAAGGAAAATGCCGCCACATGTGTCGGTGCATTAACTGCCTGGGGCCACATTCTGCAGATGACTCTAACTATCCTCTCCGCCCTCGCCCTTTCAAGGGCAAACTTATTCGTCCTCTAGAGAAAGCAATTACGGAACTCCGTTCACGCAACCGTAATAATCTCCGGAAAGAGCGTCGCACAGAGGCTGCCGCAGTCGCCGCAGTCGCCGCAGCAGCTGCTGCCAACTCCGCAACCTCCAACTCTCCGGGCAGACTCGGTGCACCGAATATCTTGACGGAAGCCCCCTCCGTTCCTCCTCAACGCACGTCTCCTGCTAGCCAGAACAAGTTCACTCCTCTTGCTTCTGCTCTGGATGGGTTCATGGAAGTAGACCTAGACCAGCAAGTCTCCAATAATCCCTCCAACAGTACTTCCCATGACCGATAGAGTCTATTTCAGGAGCACCCCCCCGCCTCGCCTCCGTTTCCTCCAAGCAAACGTTGGGCGTGGTGGATCTTCTCACCTCATTCTTCTACAAGCTGCATTTCAGGGAAAATATGACGTGATATTTGTCCAAGAGCCCTGGACAAGAACAATTAACCAAAAGAACGTAACCAAGTTCCATCCGGCCTACGTTATTTTCACTCCTCCTAATCGTGACTGGAAAAAACGCGCCCGCGCGTTCTCATCTAAGTCCGAGAGAAATCTAATCTCCGACCTGTCCAACTGGATTGTGGTCTCTCACCCGATATTATCGCCCTCCATCTCCAGTGCTCTCCTTCTCTAGAGATCATAAATGTATATCGTCAACCTCAAGCTCGAATGCCTGAGAGTCTCGGCGCACCCCTAAGTTGGTCGGTTAAACCGAATACCATAATTGTGGGGAATTTTAACCTCCACCACGAATTATGGGAGCCCAACGTTTCCTGGTCGTCTAGCGTTAGCAGCTTTGTTGAATGGATTGACAATTATTCTTTGAGGTCAGCATTGCCTTACGGAGCTCCCACCCATCGCGCCGGCCATGTCCTCGACCTAGTACTTACGAACATGGAAGGACTTCAAGCCCGTGTGGATCTAGAGACACATTCAACCTCCGACTACGAGACAATATCCGGCTTCGTCCAGCTCTCGTCATCACAAAGGCCACACCCAATGCTGAAGCTGCCCGGATTCAACGACGAGAATGCTGAGGTATTTCGTCTAGCCCTCTTCGCTACCGTACCTCCTACTCTTCCCTTTGAGGACCCATCCCCCTAACGCCTGGACGCAGTGACTTCATCGGGTATCGCCGCTCTCTCGGCAACTTTGCTTGCAGCTAACTCCCCGAGGCCTGCATGCGTTCCATGCAAAGATTATTGGAACCACGAATGCTCAGACCAACGGCGTCGGTATCTCGAAGCCCGCCATATTGGTGATCAAGATCTCATTAGTGAGGCACATAGTAATTTCCGGAAATCTGTAAGACGAGCCAAACGCGAACACAAGCGGCTCAAGTTGGATAACGTTTCTTCGACCTTGGAGGCCCACAAAGTTGTTGGATGTCGGAAGTCATCTAGTCGCTTTGGCCCTCCTCCTATTCAATTCCATGGTGTTACGTACAGCACCCCGACCGAGCGGGCAGATATACTTTTTCGAACTAAGCTTACCCGCGCAACTGGTCAATCGGATATACCTAGAAACACACCCATCTGCCCACTGCGTGCGATCCCCGCACATCTCTCTGTGGACGAAGATTAAGTGCGCCACTGTCTTCTGGAAGTTTCGTCAACTACTCCGGGACATGACCACCTCTCTATCTCAGATCTACGTCTAGTATGGGAAGTAGATACATGGCGCTCGTGAATTGTTCACCTTTACAGCCTCTGCCTGGCATATGGCCACCATCCCAGCATCTTCCGCCGCGCCGAAGTGGTGGTCATTCCTAAACCGCACAAGGACGATCTCACCAATCCTGCCAATTGGCGACCGATTTCGCTTCTCCCAGTTCTCGGGAAAGGGCTGGAACGCATCCTTGCGAGACGCTTTGTCTTCTGGGCCTTGTCAAATCACATTATCTCCCCCTTGCATTTCGGAGCGCTACCC